CAGAAAACTTTTTTATGGTAATCTTATTTGTATAGAATTTATTTATATTTTATGTTAGTTTAGTTTTTAGTTAGTTTTAGTATTTTAGTTTGTTTTACACTAAGAAAATTTTCAAATCGGTGAGAAAAGAGGATTGGAAAAATGATGATTATTTTATGAACCTCGGGGGGGGGGGATGTTAACTGTGTCACTTCTTTTGGTCGTTTAGTAGCATCGCATTAACACGCTCGAGAGAAAAAAACTCTTCTCTTTTAGAATAACCAGTCTTAGAAAGAAATCAAATCATATGCTCGTTCATTCGCATAATCGAACCCTCGGGATTTCTTATTTGGTGTCTTGTGTGTGTGTGTGTGTGTATTGAGAAGGGGAGGATCAAAATCAAGGGAAAGGTTTTAAGTGTGTATATGTATATCGTCGATCGCAAGGGGACCACCAGGATCGGCGGCAAGTATCGCGGTGTCAATTAATGAGCTAAAGGACTCGACGAACGTTGGCAGACAACCGACTTGAATAGTCGACAAGAAGGAACGGCTACTACGGTTTTGCAGTGCCAGTTCTTGGTAGTCCAACATAATAAATACATAATATGCACATAAAGGCGAACCCGCGCGATCGAAATGATCAAGCGAAATCTTAAATCGTATACCGGGCCCCCCAAGATCGTGTATATTTTAAATAAAAAATTGCTTTTCATTTCCTTTTTTCTTTCTATAATTCATTAACTTCTTCTCTCATCAATCTGATGAATGATGGACTCTTTGTTTTCACTTGTCCAGACAATGTTTACCTCACTCTTTTTTTCCTTTATTTATTTTGTTATTTATTTTGATGTTTACCTAACTTCTTTTTTATTCATTTTATTCATATCGTATTTTTAATTTTTTATATTTTATTAATTTGAATTTTCCCAGAATTTTTTACGAGACAATTACGAGCCCCGGCAGAGTTAATCCCCCATTTTCTCATAGTTTTAAATTTAATTTTGATTTTATTAACTTTGTATATCGTTTATCGTTACGCACGTGCTATTGATTCAAAAGCATATTTCATCGTCGAAGATAATCTATACAAACTGTAAATAGTGTTTATTAATTTAAGAAAATTTTATTTAAAATAATGGAAACACTTACATTTCAAACTAATTAATATATTTTTTTAATAAAATTCAAGATGACACTGTCTCCTGAAAATAATTTAATTTAAGACTGTTTATAATATTTATTATTAAATATAAAATGAATGTTGTCAAAAAGAAACTAACATGATTCAAGTTAATCATTCAAAGAAATGTTTAAACATTGAGAAATTGTTGAATAACGTTTGTTGAGTGAATTTTTGGCAAATCATATAAATTTTTAAGAGATTCGTATTATTTTGCGTAAGTGTTTTTAACAGAAAGGAATAATTCAAGTTTTTGTACATATTCAGCCTTATCTAATGCTTATAATTCCTTATCTTCTCTGATTAACCTTGACTACTCCCTTTATTTTAATTTCTGTTTACTGATGTGTCATGCGCCTCATCTTCATCGATCTACGCATTTTTTTCTTTTGTAACTTATAATGTTAATTAGTGTCTAATCGTATTCGTCGTGATATCATTGACTTCAGTATTTAATTAATAACAATAATAGTTTGTAGTACAATTTTTTATGATTTCCAAACCTAAATATATACTTTCGTATTGCTCTTTTGTCTCATTTAAAGACATTTTTTATTTTTCACACAATATAATATAAAAAGTAATAAAAAATTCAACATGAAACTTTTAATTTCTATATTATATTATATTATTATATTATATTATATTATATTATTATATTATATTATTTCTATATTTTTATTGCTGTTATCTGTGTTAATCAATAATTGTCAATCATTAGATAATTATGATCATTCGAGTCATATTAGATGTTACATAAGTAGAATGGACGCCGAAGGTATGTTATTTTTTTTATTTACAAATTTTATAATATATTAAATTAGAATTTGTATAAAATCTAAATTTAATACAAACACAGTAAATCGTGAGGTATTAAAAAGTGTTGCAGATTAAATTAACATCAAAAAAGATTTAAATAATCAATTTTGGTGTTATTTTTACAATCAATAAAATTTTAGTTCATTACATTTTTTTATAACTATAAAAGATGACCAACTAATAAAATCATTATTTTATATTATAAGAATATTATACTTCTTCCAAATTATTTTCATTACTTCAATTCAATTATTATTTTCAAAAATTTTTAACTGCAATTTTACTTCATAACAATTATTTTTAATAATTTTCGAAAAAGTTCTTTGGCAATTTTCAAATCCATTTCTTTACAATATTCAATTTCACGAAATTTCAATTATTCCCAAATTCTTTTATTAAATGCATATTAGAAAATAAAAACTTCAAATAATATAAAAGAAAATTCAATTAAACTTTTTCAAAAAAATTAATTTTAAAATTCAATTATTTCTAAAAATTCACGCTATATTGCTTTTAATATTCAATTATAATCTAAAATTTTAACTGAAATTCATTTTTATGAAATGAAAATCAATTTTTATTAGAAAATTCTACGAGAATTTAATTATTTAAATGCAAAAGTAAATAATTTATTGAATAATTGAATGTTTCTTAAAATTCAATTCTCATAAAGAATTTTATTAACAAATTTTTAAAGAATTCAATTCTTTTGTCGAATTTTATTAAAACTTGCACGAACATAATTACTTTTTTTAAGGAATTCAATTATAATTCTATGAAAAATAGTTGAAACGCTGCGATCAGTTTTATTATTAGTAAAAATAATTGAATCCTTAAGAAGAATTTTATTACTCTTGAAAATAATTGAATTTCTGCAATAATTTCTAACTTCTCTAAAATTAAATTTTTTCTAGTGCTTTTAACTAAAATTCTTCAATAAATCCATTATTTTTAATAATTTTTAAAAAAGTTCTTTGAGAATTTTCAAATTCATTCGTTTACAATTCAATTTTACAAAATTTCAATTATTCGGAAATTCTGTAATCAAATATTTATTGAAAAATAAAAACTTGAAATAATTTCAATAAAAATCCTATTAAACTTTTAAAAAGAATTAATTCTGCAGAATTGTTTGTCAAAAATATGAAAAATTAAAAATTTGAATGAATTTAATTTGAAACTTTTTTTAATAATTTAATTTGTTCTAAAAATCCACGTTAAAATGGTGTTAATATTTAATTATAACCTAAAATCTTAACTGAAATTCATTTTTAAAATCATTTTTATTAGTAAATTCTACGGGAATTCAATTATTTAAATACAAAATTAAATAATTTATTAATTTCATGTTTCTTGAAATATAAATTCTCATAAAAAATGTTATCAACAAATTTTTGAAATCATTTAATTCTTTGGACGAATTTTAATAAAATTTTTAAAAATAATTACATTTTTCGAGGAATTCGATTAAAATTGCATTAAAAATAATTGAAATTAAGCAATGAGTTCTATTATTTATAAAAATAATTTAATCCCTGTAAAAAGTTATTATTTACGAAAATAATAATTGAATTATTGCGAAGAAATTTATAAAAAAAATTTGTAAATAATTGAATTCCTTTAAAAAATTTCATTATTTATGGAAATAATTGAATGTTTGCGTAGAATTTTATTCAAACTTTTCTTAATAATGGAATTCTTTTGGAAAATTTTATTGAAATACTATAGATATTGAAAATTATTAAATTTTAGAAAACTTTTCAAAATAATTGAAATTTTAACAAGAATTTGATTAAAATTTTGTAAAATAATTGAATATCAGAGAAGAATTTTATTATTAATAAAGAGAATTGAAATTTTGACGAGAATTTTTAAAAATTTTTGAACACAATTGTATTTAGTAAATATGTTACTAAGTTAGTTAGTAAGTTAGTAACTAACTTACTAATTACTTTTCTCCCTGGAGAAGCTAAAATCGTTGAATTTTTCCAAATCGTTGACTTGGGTATTTGATTTAAAATAAAATTTGAATCATAGATAAAAATAACACCAAAATAGATTATTTTAATCCTTTCTGGTATTAATTTAATCCTAGAGAGATTAAAATGTTGCAGATTATTTTAATCCATTCTGGCGTTATTCTATCATCTCACGTTTTACTATGAATATTTCAAATATAATTCTAAAAAAAATTATTTCAGAGAACTGCGTTTATCCGATATATAAAATGAAAACAAATTACGTTTTTCGATCTTTTCAAAAAATTATAGTTTATGCTTGTCAAGGGAACCTGGCAATTTATTATGCAGAAAAAGATAAGGCCAAGAGTGCGTATTGTTTTTATAAAAACTTAAATAATTAGTACACGATTTCAGCTAGCAGATGACAGGGAGTAAAAGTCATTTAGTGAAATTCAGAATCCTTAATTTTTGCCCTAGGGTAAAAATGAATCCAAGTTTCATACGATCGAACAATTTTCCTCCCTGTCGTCTGCTATCTAAAAGCGCCATTTTTGTGCATGTTGGATAAAAAAAGTAAAAAAATTGTAAAATTAAATTTTTTTTTTAATTTACAGGAGAATGTGTCTCTAAATTTGATGATGATGATGATGATAATTATTACTATTGCACATATGAGCGACTAAATTTAACTCATAGATCTCTGTTTCGCGAAAGAAAGAAAAAATGAAACTAAAGAAATGAAATAAATAAAATATTACTATGTTTTGTGTACAATTATATTTTTAAATAAATTTTCGAAACTAATAAAATTGGAGATGATTTCTTAATTCCTAGAATATAAAATTATAAAACACCTTTTTTAATTCTATTTAATTTGAATTTAAAAATTTTCTAAAATTAAAAATGTTTCAAAATAAATAAATTTACATAGTGAATAGAAACGGAGTCGCAGTTATCAAAAATATAAAATAAAATTCTAAAAGAAGTATCATGCAATAAAAAATAAAAGTACAAATTTTTATGTTTACCGATAAGTAAAAAATTGTTCTGAAATTTATATTTCTAAACGATTTTACCAACATTACGCGGACGAAATTCAACGAACTTAAATATATCTTTGTGTAGTTATTTCGTTTCATTTAAAAAAAAGTTTTCAATTTTCACACAATAAAAAAAAAAAATTCAATATGAAATTTTTTATTTCTATTATTTTATTGATTATATCTGTGTTAAGCAGTAATTGCCAATCAACAAATAATAATAATCATTTGAGACATGCCAGCTATTACATGAGTAGAATGGACGCCGAAGGTATGTTATTTTTCTCACTTACAAATTTCATATTGTATATGAAACTAGAATCTGCATAAAATTAAAAATAGTATAAATATTTTAAATATAATTCTAAAAAAATTATTTCAGAGCACTGTATTTATCCATTAATTAAAACGAAAAAAAGCTTTATTTTTAGAACTATAAAGAGAATTATAGTTTATGCTTGTAAAGGGAAACTGAAATATTATAAAAAAAAAGATAAAGCAAAGAGTACGTATCGTTTTTGTAAAAACTTTAATAATTAATAAAGAGCCATTTTTTGTATTTTGGATGAAAAGGAAAATAAATTATAAAATTAAATTTCTTTTTTTAATTTACAGGAGAATGTGTTTCTAAATTTTATGATAATAGTTATTACTATTGCACACATGAGTTAAATGCATTTTACTATTAGATCTTTCTCTCTCAGAAGAAACTCTAAATAACTGTAATTAATAAAATATTACTGTTAATTGTATACAATGATATTTTTGAATAAATTATCGAAATAAAATTGGAGATAATTTCTTAATTCTTAGAATATAAAACACCTGTTTTTAATTCTTTAAAATAATATATAAGTGGTATTATAAAAATTCAAAATATTTGTTATCACACTTAAAATCCTGTCAGTTATCAAGAAAATAATATAAAAATCATATCAAATAAAGCAGCCTGCATTTTTTAATTTATAAAAATTTTTTATTTTTCTGAATAATAGTAAAATTGTTTAACAATTTTTTTATCTCTTTTGCGATTTCACAAAATATTTCCGGGAAGAAATAATAAAAAAGAAACCAAAAAATTTATCCTTTTGGTAACAAAAATATTTAGCATACTAATTTTTAAAAAGAAACTTTCTTATTCAAAGATGTTCTAAAATTGAAAATGTTTCAAAATAAATTTTATAGTGCATAGGAACATAGTCTGGAATTCTATTATTTAAATATTTAAACAATTTTAAATAATATTCATCGTAAGAATTCAATTATTTTCATAAATATTACAATTCTTTTCAAGGATTTAATTACATTCATTAATAATCAAATTTTTCATAGGATTTCAATTTAATACAATTTAATACAATTTTAAATAAATTCCTAGAAAGATACAATTATTTTCAAAAATTTTATTATTTTCAAAGATAATTGAAATTTTGAAGAGAATTTTTTTTAATTTTTGCAGGAGATCAATTATTTTTATAAAGAACAAAATTCTGGTTTGAATTTTGTTTTACATGAAAATAATTGAATCTCTGAAAAAAGTTTTATTATTTATGAAAATAATTTAATGTTGACTTAGAATTTTATCAAAAAATTTTTTTAAATAATTGAATTAATAAGAAAAATTTTTTTGTAAATAGTAGTTATTGAAAATCATTGAATAGATAAAAATTTTTGAAAATAATTGAATTTTGTAGAAGAATTTTATTATTTTTAAAGATAATTGAAATTTTGACGAGAACTTTTTTTTAATTTTTGCAGTAGTTCAATTATTTTCATAAAGAACAAAATTCTTTACAGTATTTTAATTATTTAAAAAAAATTTAATTGGAAATGATCTCTTAATTTTTACAATGTAAAAAACCCATTTTTTTTATTCTTTAAGAAAATAAGAATAAAAAACAATAAATAAAAAAAAAATTTTAAAAAGAAATAAAAAAATAAATAAAAATTTAAAGTATTTTTTTATCACATTTAAAATTTTCACCGTTTTCATGAAAAAAAAATAAAAATATATGGTGGATTCCACGTCAGTTCAACACACTTATTTTCATGACTTGTTGGGATTTGGCTGTAATTTTGTAAATTCATTACTTTTATAGTGATAAACAACTCCACCAAATATTTTTTCAAAATTTTGAAAATTACCAAAAATATGGCATTTTCAAAATTTTTGTCTTCTTTTTTTGAAAGTGCTATAACTTTGGTTCTAATTAACCAATTTTGGATTTTAAAAAAAGGATTTCTTTGGTTTTAAGTATATTTTAAGTTAAAATTAAAATAAAAAAAAAAATTCAAAAATTTTTTTTTTTTGAAATTTTGAAAAATTAAAAATCCGTTTTTGAAAAAACATCATCTTCGATTTTTTTCAAAATTTTACTAAATGTTAGGGCAAATGTGCTTTACATGTCCTGTAAATTTCATCTTGGGATCTCAAAGGGATTCGGAGTAAAAAAATAAAACGTAACCACAAATTATGAACATATGGGGCAAAATTCCTCACCTGCCCAGGTAAAAAAATGAATTTTCTCTAAACTTTGATACAATGTTACTATTATTAGTAGAAGTGTAAATATTAATTTTTTTTTGAATTTGATAAAATATTTTTTGAGTTATGGAGTTTCAAAATTTTGATTTTTTTGAAAATATATTTTTTTCGATTTAATATATTGATAAGTAAAATTAAGCAAATTTAAAGTATGAATAGTGGTTTTTAAAGGGGTTTTCACGGGCTATAAGCTGGTGACCTTTTTTCTATGAGCCATGTAAGAATCAGAGTGGGACCATGAGAATTTTTGAGGAAAATAATAATTTATCATTATTTTAAATAGAAAATGATGATTTATAATTAATTTCTTCAAAAAGATCCATGGTCCCACTCTGAGTTTTACATGGCTCATATGAAAAAAGGTAAGCTTTCGATTGGGATAGGTTAGAAAAAAATTAAAAACACCGATTTTGAGATACAGTAGAACTTGGTTAATACGATTCTGTAGGGACCGCACTAAGAATGCGGCTTATGCGGGAAAACGTATTAGGTGGGATATAAAAAGTATATCTTTAATTACAGGGACCACCATAAATGAGCGTCTTAAGCGGGAAATCGTATTAAACGGGATCGTATTAACCGGGTTCTACTATATATTGAAATTAAGAATTTGACCTTGAATTTCAAGGTCAAATTAACAGAAAACAACTTTTTTTCATCACCAGCTTATAGCCCGTGAAAACCCCTTTTAAAAACCACTATTCATACTTTCAATTTCATTAATTTTACTTATAAATATATTAAATCGAAAAAAATATATTTTCAAAACAATCAAAATTTTGAAACTCCATAACTCAAAAAATATTTTATCAAATTCAAAAAAAATTAATATTTACACTTCTACTAATAATAGTAACATTTTAGCAAAGTTTAGAGAAAATTCATTTTTTTACCTGGGTAGGTGAGGAATTTTGCCCCATATGTTCATAATTTGTGGTTACGTTTTATTTTTTTACTCCGAATCCCTTTGAGATCCCAAGATGAAATTTACAGGACATGTAAAGCACATTTGCCCTAACATTTAGTAAAATTTTTAAAAAAATCGAAAATTTTTTTTTTTCAAAAACGGATTTTTAATTTTTCAAAATTTCAAAAAAAAAATTTTTTTGAATTTTTTTTTTTATTTTAATTTTAACTTTAAATATACTTAAAACCAAAGAAATCCTTTTTTTGAAATCCAAAATCGGTTAATTAGAACCAAAGTTATAGCACTTTCAAAAAAAGAAGACAAAAATTTTGAAAATGACATATTTTTGGTAATTTTCAAAATTTTGAAAAAATATTTGGTGGAGTTGTTTATCACTATAAAAGTAATGAATTTACAAAATAACAGCCAAATCCCAACAAGTCATGAAAATAAGTGTGTTGAACTGACGTGGAATCCACCATATCAAATACTAAAAATGAAGAAAAAACAATCTTTTTTTAATTTAGAAAAATTTCACGTTTGTTGATAATCACAAAATTATTTTCCAATTTTTTATTTCTTTCCTGATACGAAATTCTCATAGAAAAAATTTCTTGGTATTGAAATTGTTAATAAATAAATTTATTAGTATTATTTATTACTAATTATTAGGTCGCAAACGTTTTCGGCGCATAATTATTCATTCATATATTAAAAATAAATTAGTTAAAGAATCTTTAAAATTGGTTTTGATACAATAATATTTGCTTGATTAGATCATTCAAAGTAATCATTTCTAGTACCGTTGAGATTGAAAATTGTTTTATAAAATTAACTGGTGGATATTTCCTCTCGAAAGTGAGTGATAACATCACTTTGATGACCTCGTTTTTCCAAATCAATTGCCAACGCGTTCGATACATTGTTTGTGACTCTTTTTCATTCAATGGGAAAACTGCCAAAATTCCTTTATAGCTTCATGTTAAAGAATCGAGAATAAATTTACAGAACAATATTTATTTGTTTTTAGTATAACCTTTTTCAATCTAATTATTTTTTCTTCAAATTATGATTAATAACCAATTTTTTTTTAAATTAATAAACAAATGAAAATGTCAAAAATTGACATTTACAATTTACAATGAAAAATTGTAAATTGAAAATGAGAGAAAGTCAAAATAAAAGTGAAAATAAAAATCTTTCGCAGTGAAAGTAAAAATGAAAGTGAATGGAAAAATGTTGTCAAAGTGAAATTGAAATAAATGAAAACAGAAATTTGTAACAATTGTATGATTTTATAAAAATAGATCAGAAATAAAATAAAATAAAATATAAAATAGACACGAAATGTAAGTAATTAGAATAGTCATAAACCAAAATCCGAGGAAAATTCGATTAATCAACCAAAATAAAACACAATAAATACTGCAGAAATCGAAAATATATTGATCATGAAAAATATTAAATTAACAAAAATAATTTGAAAATATTAAAGAAAAAACCGCGGCTTTCATTCATAGCACACTCGTGACAATAAATAATAAAAATCAATTTTGACATAAGATATAAAATAAAATAAATGCATAAAACAAGAAATAATAATAAACACAATAGTGATGATAATGAGAAATGATGAAAAGGTTTAGAATATTGTTTGGGATAAATCCCAATAAATAATATAAAAATGAATTATGGAAAACAAATGGCAGTATAAAAACTTATCGCTCCGGTGAAATTAAAGTTGAGTACAGCAGCGGAAATGGCAACGGCTTTCGATGCAGGAGAAGACGATGCCCATAGAATTTTGTCAGTAAAAAGGATCTGGAATTCAACCTCCTTCTTCTCAGGAATAGGTGAATCCGTCGTCAAAATGTAGAGAATATAATCCCCATAGAAATTCGGGCAATTTGTTGGTTTCACACCAAGTCTTGTCTCCCCGAATCCGTTATTTCAAAACCAATATGAAAATGCTCACAGAAATAGCTGTTTCACGCGCTGTCCCAAAATCTCGTCCACAATAAGAGAAATCGCCACACTAATTATTTTAAAATAATAAAAGAAAACCAAATCAATAACTATAATTTCATTTAAATTTACCAATATATCCAAAGATCCCAATATTAAAATATAAATTTGAATTACCTCTGGGCTGTCGGCGACACGCAGAGATATGGCGAGACTTTACTTAAGACACCGGGCGATATTCGAAAAGTGAGGACAATTTGCGCGCGTGAAACAGCTAAATCACCCGCCCAAAAATGTACCCCCCTAAAATCGTATGATCCCACCAATTTACATCGTCTTCTCCTCATCTCGTCATTTAGTGCTCCCGGACTCGAAC